GGAAATTGATTGTGTTACTTAGAGGTCAGTCATCTCAGCTCCAGAGCATCTCTGCAGGAGTTCCTCAGGATAGTGTCCTTGGCCCAACCATCCTCAGCTACTTCATCCATGACCACCCGTCCATCAGAAATTCAGAAGTGGGGATGTTCATCAATGATTCAGCACTATTCACAACTTCCCAGATACAGGGGAAAAAAAAACAGAAGTTGCTGGAAAGCCTCAGCAGATCTGGCAGCATCTGTGAAGAAAAAAATCAGAGTTAATGTTTTGGGTCTGGTGACCCTTCCTCAGCCAGGGATGCCTGTAGCGCACGAAGCAATTAAAAAAACAAGCTTACAACTTCTAACGCAGAGTTGGGAACACTGCTATACTAATACCTCAATTACTGATACTAATTAGAAGCAGCAGTCAGTACAAACTTTTCCTGTTAGAGAATAAAAATGTCAAAAGACTGGACTGTGACAATCCTTTGTTCACAGCCATTGTTCTATTGTGATTCTCTTGACAATAAGATTAAGAGAAGCATTTGCTATTCTAATTTGAACCCATTGTCTTACTCAAGAGTATTGGTTACCCAGCTGGTGGGATAACTTAACACATGCAGTTGCAATTTTTGCAACAATTTCAGAGCGATTCAGGAAAGTTGCACAGTTCTATTTTGTCTAATTCAGGCTTGTGCTTATACTGAAAGACCACCCATACTGCTGAACTTTAATTACGTCTGTATTGTAAACTTCTCAAATTGCAGGCACTCTGTAGTCCTGTATCCCTCACATTCCCAGGAATGGCGTGAGATGTAGCATGGAAGACTTGTAGGGTAGCGTGTGTTACAAACCTTTTTTTATTAGATTGACAAGAGTATAAAGGTAAACGTCTCTCTAAGTAAAACCATTTATGAAATCTGCTTTGTAACAGGATCTCTGCTCAAATCTTTTACACAAAAATGTATTTTGCTTGTTGTCCCAGTAAATAATTATGAGACAGCAAAAAATGTGTGGGAAAAATTCCTGAAGGAAGGGACAATTCTTCTTTAAACTGAATAGCAGATTCACTTTTGTGGAAGAACACTGCACTTTTTTTTAAAGAGTTAGAAGTATGGGGACACTTTGTAATAGTTCTAAGGATTCATTTTAGCTGTCCAGTGAATGCATTTTGAATAAGTTAATGTTTTCACGAGTTCAGTTATGAAATCAGATTGAGTTCAGATGAGGTGAGATGCAGCAAGCATGAAAAAAGCTCCAGCTGAGAGAATTCATTGTGAGGCTTGAGACATCTTAGCTGCTAGGTCTCATTTGAATTGTTTTGGATCTGCTTCCCACCAAAGGTTAGTGTGAATTATGTTGATGCCAATAGGCGGGAGCTGGACTTGGAGCCGGAGGCAAGCTCTATTGGGGATTTGAGAAAACAGACCTTATCATTAAAAGCAGGAAATGTCGGAAACTTGTGCTAGTTCAGCCAGGATCTGTGGAGGGGAATAAGTTCCCACCTGAATTATTGGCTTGAAATGTTAACTCTGTTTCTCTCTTCTCGTTTGCTGACAGACCTGGAGAGTATTTCTGGTGTTTTTTGGTCCTTTTACAGACTTCCACTGCCCAAGGTGATTAGCTTTTCCTTATAACATTAATTTGACTGCTATAGAAAAGAGGTCATAGAGATGTACAGTACAGAAACAGACCCTTCAGTCCAACTTGTCCATGACAACCAGATATTCTACATTAATCTAGTTCCATTTGCCAGCATTTGGTCCATATCCCTCTAAATCCTTACTTGTTGACTTTTTAACAGGTGCCATTGTTGGAATGGAGACGGGATCCATAAAAGCCCACAGGTTCTTTGTATGGACTTGAAGGAGCGATACTGCACCTCCTTGTCGATAATGAATCCTTGCTGAAATTAGAAAAACAATATTTTTCATGGCATCATCTGGGCAGCCTCCTGCCTCTGTTTGTGCACACCTCTATGGCTAGCATCTTGTCAGAATGCTGAGAACATCAGGCTGCAACTTTGAAAGATCAAGTCAGCCAGCCCTGCAAGACGCTGTCTGCCCCCTCGGACTGAAATGGTCCTGGACAGAAATGCACTGCAAACCTTCCCAGTGCCCTTTGGGTCAAGCAGGCTTGGTGCACTGGGGCAACAGTTTACACATTTCTCACCGAGACTTCGCCATAATATGTTTGTGGCGATTTTTCCTATGTCTCATGGTACCAGAGCAAACACGGGCAAGAAAATCTCCTGCTGGTTACCATATATTGTCCCTCCTTGGCTCAGTACTTGGCTCAGATGGATCAGTACTCCTCCATGTTGAACACCACTTGGTGGAAGTACTGAGGATAGTAAGGGCACAGAATGTACTGTGGCTGGGAGACTTCAGTATCGATCACTAAGAGTGGCTCAGCAGCAGCACTACTGATCGAGCTGTTTGGGCCCTAAAGCACATTGTTGCTGGACTGGCTATACTGGTGAAGGAACCAACAAGAGAGAAAAACATACGTGACCTCATTCCCATGAATCAACCTGCCACAGATGCATCTGTCCATGATGTTATCATTAAGGGTGACCACCACACAGTGCTTGTGGAGATGAAGTCATGCCTTTATGTGAGGAATACCCTATGTGGGCCATCAACAGCAGCAGATTGATACTCTAATACAATCTGCAACCTCATGGCCCAGGCATTGACCCTACCCTACCATTACCATCAATCCAGGGAATCAAACCTGGTTCAATGAAGAGTGTAGGAGGGCATAGCATCCACCACTTTCAAGTCCCCTCCAAACCTCAACATACTGACTTGGAAATATATCATACAACGCAGAACAGTACAGGAACAGACCCTTCAGACTGTGCTGACCGTGATACCATTCTAAACTAATCCCATCACATAGCCCATATCCCTCTATCCCCTGCCTGTTTCTGCATCTGTCTAAATGCCTCTTAAATGTTTCTATCATATCTGCTTCTACCTCCTTACTTGGGAGCACTTTCCAGGAATCTACTATCCTCTCTGTAAAAACAAAACTTTCCTTTCACATCTCCATTAAACTTCCCCCCTGTCACCTTAAACCTATGCCATCTGATATTGAATATTTACACTCCGGATAAAAGACTCTGACTATCCATCCTACCCATACCTCACATAATTTTATTTATTTCTAGCAGGTTGCCCCTCATCCTCTGATGCTCAAGTGAAAGCAATTCAAGTTTGTCCATGTTCTCCTTATGGCTAAAACATTCCAAGCCAGGCAACATCCTCATAAACCTCTTTGCACCTTGTCCAAAACCTTCACATCCTTCCAATAGTGTGGTGACCAGAATTGCATACAATACTCCAAATGTAGTTCCACTAAAGTTTTTTCACAGCTGCAACATGATTTGCTAACTTTTATACACAATGCCCTGACTGATGAAGGGAAGGATGTCGTACACTTTCTTTACCACTTTATCGCCTTGTGTTGCCACTTTCAGGGAGTTACGGATGTGCACCTCAAGATCCCTCTGTATAACCCTAAAATTCACTTGGTCCTTCCACTCCACCTTCAAATTCATTTGGTCTATCTCAGACACTTCCCTCCCCTTTGTTGACCTTTCCGTTTCCATTTCTGGCAACAGCGTACATGCTGACATTTGCCATAAGCCAACAGACTCCCATAGCTACCTAGACTACACCTCCTCCCACCCTGTATCCTGCAAAAATTCCATCCTGTTTTCCCAATTCCTCTGTCATCGTTGCATCTGCTCTGACGAGGAGATGTTCCACTCCCAAGCATCCCGGATGTCTGCCTTTTTCAAACAACGCCCTTTACCTCCTTCTGTCAACCAGACCGCCCTCCACTGCACCTCCTCCATTCCTTACTCCACAGCTCTTAAACACCACCACCACTCCCTCCAAACATAATATTGATAGGGTCCCCCTTGTCCTCACTTTCCACCCCCCCAGCCTCTGCATCCAACGTATCATCCTCAAACATTTTAACCAACTCCAATTAGACCACACCACCTGGAACATATTCCACCCTCCACCCCTCTCTGCCTTCCACAAGGACCATTCCCTTTGCCACGCCTTAGTTTGTGCCACACTCCCCACCAACCACTCCAATCCGCCTGGTACCTTCCCCTGTAACCATAAAAGATGCAATACCTGCCCACACACCACCTCCCTCATCTCCATCCAGGGCCCTAAACAGCTCTTCCAAGTGAAACAGAGCTTCATCTGCATCTCCTCCAACCCAGTCTATTGCATCCAGTGCTTCCAATGTGGTCTTCTCTACTTCGGTGAGATCAAATGTAGACTAGGTGACCGTTTCACCGAGCATCTCCGCCTGGCCCGTAACAGCCAACCTAACCTCCTGGTCACTGCCCATTTCAAATCCCAGTCCCAATTCCCTCTCCAACCTGTTCATCCTCGGCTTCCTCCAGTGTCGCAGTGACTCAGAATGCAAATTTGAAGAACAACACCTTATCTTCCGCCTGGGCACCCTACAGCCCGGAGGACTCAATGCTGAGTTCTACAATTTCAAATAACCTTGCCATCCATCCCCCGCCTCCCCTTCCAGCACCACCTCCTTCCTTCCACTCCACCTTCTGACCCTTCCTCTCAGCCACCAACCAGATTCATCCCTCCCATCGACCAACCAGGTCGTACCTACTACCAGTGTCCACCTATCACCACCATTCACCTCCACCCCTGCCCCCCTCCCCCTTTATCTGCAGCTCCCCCTACTCTCACATCCAGTCCTGAAGAAGGGTAATACCTAAAATGTTGATTGCTCCTTTCCTCCAGATGCTGCCTGACTTGCTTACACAAGGGGAATCTAACAAAATTGACATGAACTGTGATTTCTACTCAGGTTTCTGGAAGTACAGTCTCGGCGGTCATTCAAAGCCGGCACAAACATTTACAGTGCAGTATAGGTCCAAATAATCTGTTTTTAGTGGCATTGGTTTGAGAGATAAACAGTAGCCTTCCAGCCTCCTGTTTGTCTCCCAAGAGTCCTGCCGTTTGCTAAATACTTTCCTCTTGCATTTGACCTCCCAAAATGCATCGCCCTACTTTTCCAGATTAAATTCCATTTCTCCACTTGCCATCTGCCTGCCCAACTTTCCAACAGATCTATATATCCTGCTGTATCCTTTGACAACCTTTCTCACTATCCATAACCACCAATTTCTGTGTCTTCTGTAAAGTTACTAATCAATTCACCTGCATTTTCATCCAAATTATTTACATATATATTACAAACAACAGAGGTCCCAGCCCTGATCCTAGTGGAACACCAGTGGTCACTGACCTTCAGTCAGAGAGTCGTTGTGAAGGGTGTTTTTCTGACTTCCATGACCAAACCAATCTTGTGTTCCATTTGCTGAATCACCATGGATCCCATGTGACTAAACCTGGACCAGCCTACCATGAGGGGCCATGTCAGATGCTTTAGTAAAGTCCATTTAGGCAACATCTGCTACCCTGCCCTCATTAATCATCTTTATCACTTCCGCAAAAAAACTCAATCAAATTTGTGAGACAACACCTCCCTTCAGCATAGTACAAAGCTATGCTGACTATCCCTAATAAGTCCATTCTTTTCCATAAATGCACAAGTGTACCTATTGCTGTTCATGCAGTGGCATTTGGGTCAAAAACCTGGAACTCTATCCCATTGTGGGTCTACCAACAGTAAACGGATGACAGCGATTCAAGAAATCAGTTCCCCCACCACCTTCTGAAGGGAAACTAGTGATGGTTTGGTACCTTACCCGCACCACTAACTACCATCCAATGAAGCCCATGCCCATAAGTGAGTGGGCATCTAAAATAATCTGGGCTGCTTACACAAAGGAAATCTAACAAAATTGACATGAACTGTGATTTCTACTCAGGTTTCTGGAAGTATAGTCTCGGCTGTCATTTAAAGCCGGCACAAACATTTACAGTGAGGTATATGCCCAAATAATCTGTTTTTAGTGGCATTGCTTTGAGAGATAAATACTAATCCAGTCATCAGACTCCTTCTCTCCTTCAGATACTTCTGTGAAATTGTTTATATCCACCTGAGTGGACCAACTAGGACCTCAGTTTGATATCTGATCCAAATGTTGACTCTTCCAATAATGCAGTATTCCCTCAAGAATTCAGATACTCACTGTTTATGCATCCAAGTCTGTGGAATATGACTTTGTTCTGAATCCCTCTGACTCATGCGTAGCAGTACTTGTGTGACTGTTGAGCCTTCACCTGTTGATTTTAAAGTGTACCAGTAGTTTGCATATAGATGAACGTCACAATACTTAGTTCTATCTTCATTAAAATGGTCAAATGTTGACAATTCCCAATATTGAATTGAGCATGCAACAAACAAAATTAAAGTTCCTGTTTGGTATTCTTGTATCTTACTACCAAATAATGCTTCTCATGGTCTCATTAACTATCCTTACTGTTAGGCAATATTGGTAACTATGCTTATATCATTCTTTCGGGATAATATCTGAAATTTTACCGTAGCAAGTGTGTACGACTGACCTAACAGCTGCAATAAAGAATTTTTGGGACCATATGGGGCAGGAGTTTAGGGCAGAAACTCCTGCACCACCAGAACTTCATTGGACATGAGTTTTCTTTTTGATATTATTGCAATTCATGTACCCATGAGTCACACAGGAAACGTTAGAGGGTTAAAAACCGACTCTAACTCCGGCCAACCATTAAACTGAATCTCTGACTCGGTGCTGAATGTGCCCCAAACTATACCTTCTGACCTGCCTTCATTTACCCTAAGGACTCATCCTCTTACTTGTTACCTTACCCGCACCACTAACTACCATCCATCCTACACTTTCATTTCCCTTTTCACACTTACCCTTTCAGTGTCTGCTGGATATTTAATTGACAGAATATGAAACTCTGTCCCATAAAAGGAACATGGTTTTTGTAAAAGGGGACATGGATTTTGTAAAGATCATTTTTGCTGATGTGTTCAATGATATTTGGATAGGTTCACAATTTCCTGCACAGAAGCTATCTAAAGATTTGAGTGATTGTTTAATCTAATCAACCTGAATTAGGATTTCTGACATTGAGTGGAATTTATGGGCAAATGTTTCTCATTTTCTAAACTCAAATGAGTACAGTTTCAAACTGCTCAGATTTTCCTCACAAGGTAGCTCCTTTACCCAGGAATCTGCTTAGTAACATAAGACAATGATGAAGAGTCACTAGACTCGAAATATTAACCCTTCTCTCTTCCCACAGATGCTGCCAGATCTGCTGAGTTTGTCCAGCAATTTCTATCTTTGTTTCCGACCTGTCTAGAGAATTTGCTTCCTTGATTCCTTTATAAACAAGGTGACCAAAATTACAAACCGTACTTCTGGTGTCATTTCCCCAATGGCTTGTGCAGTTGTAGCAACGCTTCCCTTCTTTAATACACCATTCCCTTTACAATGAAGGACAACATTCTGTTTGCTGCTTTAATTACTTTCATGGACTTCTTATGATTCATGCATAAAAAAACCCAGGTCCCCCAGTACTTCAGCATTCTGCTGTCTTTTTTTTCATTTAAATAGTACTCTGCTTTTACATTTTTTTCTTCCAAAGTGGACAAACTCACTTTCACACATTATACCCTATCTGCCAAATTCTTGCCCAATCAATGAATCTGCCTGTATCTCTTTGCGAGTTCTTTGTGTTCACCCCACAAATTCTTTTCTGACTTATTTGTGTATCATCAACAGATCTGGCGACAGTTGGTCTCTTTATCTCGGTCTTTATCTGGAGGAGCTGAATGGCCTATTCCTGTTCCTACGTTCCCATGTCTTGTTCTTCCCTACGTCAGAGGTGAGAGGTAGCTGGTAATGCGGCAGCCAGCTGGTATTGGGGTACAGTTTGCATGAAAGCCATCACTCACAATGGCTCACTTCCCATTCTTTTATTCTCAAACCTATTTCTCCCCTCCCAACCATTCTCCACTCCTATCACTGCCCTTCCTGTTCCTTTCCTTTGAATTATGCAGCCAGCTTTATCCTCCTCCACCTCTCTCCCTTCTCTGCCCCACTCTTCTGCTATTCATCTTATTCTTAACCATTAATTTAACCTATCCCTTTTCCACCCACTGCGTTCCACAAAGGATGGACAGCAGGGACCTGAAGTAATAGTGTGAATTATGATGCAGACAGCGTTATTTTGAATGAGCTTTAGTCTTTGAAGGTTAGGAGATAAGAGACCAGCCAAGAAAACTTCGGGCTAATCTAATATGGAAGTGCATGAGGAAAAGCCACCAAGTGCTAGCTATCAATATCTACTGTTGGTTGGAGACAGCAATTGTCTTTCGAGTCATTTAGTCAACCAAGTGAGTATGAAAACTAGCTGACATCAGCACTTATCAGAATAATTGATGGGACACTCATGCCTTTCATTTACTATAATATGGACATATGCACCAAGTTGCAAAACTTTAAAAAAGTAGGAAGTTTGGGCTTTTAGGTGAATGTCAAGTGAAGCTGGGACCATCCTGCTTCTGAAAACTTACCTCTGATATTTGAAGCTCAGTGGCGAAAATTGCTGTCAAATTACGAATTGATCTAAAGATGTGTACCAACAGTGTGCTGTTCATAGCACATTAGGTAATTTGTTTTCCTGTTTGTGTGTGGTAATCAGAACCGCAGCTGCTTGTGAACAGAAGGAAGTCACTGACAATACTCACATCATAGTGTACATTCTTTCAAAGGTCCAGGGGGATCCCCAGGCTTTCTGAAACTTGGAAGGACATAGGACTGCTCCTCGTTTCTCCTTGTTAGTAAAAGATTCTGGGATTCATTGAATTTACATCAGCTTTCCATGGTAACATTTTATCCTGGCCACCTAGTAACACAGCCTTGTTGAGTGAGTGTAAAGGTTTGTTCTCACTTTGTTATCAATTAGTCATAGTTTACCCTCCCGTGACAACGATTGTGCTGTCGTGGCATCCCTTGTGAAAAATCTCAACCAATTTGAGTTTGCAACAATGAAATCCTGACTAGCTGAAAGGGATGTATTTGTATTGTATCACATATATTTGTCTCAGTTTTTGGGCACATTGATTTTCGTTTATTTTAGATTTGTGGACTGGTAAATTTTAATAGCAAACTGAGCAACGCAACTCAGTGTGGTATGGGTGTAAGTTAATGCAAGTACCCAAGCAGGGACCTTTATCATCTCACTCTACACACTACCCAGAGGGAATCGATATAAATGTGATTACAATTTGCCAACATCCACATCTGTATGAACACATTGATCACGTCTGATCAAAATTTGGAAAGTACACTTTAGGTCCAGGAACATTGTGAGAAATGCATTTGCAGGTCTACGAATGTGTATTCAATTATTTCCACAGAGGAATTTGAACTAATAATTGAAGGGTTACTCATCCAATCTCATAATGACTAAACTATGATGCAGTCAAGGTAGTCATCCAAAGTTATTGGTTCTCTCACCACATTGAGTGTGCTGCTGGCTGTTATTCTTCTTTTGTAATCTTGTATAAGCAGCATTGAGATGTTAGACATCTTAAAAGCATGCAGAATGATGTACAAGTGTTAATCCTGCATCCAGCTGGCATGAGGGCATGTAAATATGCTGCTTCTGAATGCCTTGTTAGTAAGGTTGTTTTCTGAGTTGCTTTTGAGGATACCTTTGTCAATGATAAGGTGTTAACAAGCTCATTTGAAAGTCTTGTAATAAACTATGCCTTACTGCTGTTTATGCATATGTGTAAAGAATGGAAGGTTGATTTGTGAAGGCTCATTTTACAATTGAAATCATGGTTTAACTTAGTGACAGTAATTGTGTATTGCAAGCTTTGCTCATCTCCTTGGTATGATGAAATACTGCCTTGACATAGGTCAGCTAATTTCCTGAGGTCGTTAAGGTTTATTTCTCATCTACTCCTACATTCTTTCTTACGCACTACTTACTGACCTATAACCCTATTCTGAGTTATCCCTGTAGAATCTCCTCTTCTTGAAAACATAGTTGGCAACCTATTTATAAAATCACAGTCAATGAGAGCATCATGGCTGAATCTGTTGCCTTCAACTTGAAATTCAGTGGTTAGCACTGCTGCGTCACAGCGCCAGGGACCCAGGTTCAATTCCACCCTCGGGCGACTGTCTGTGTGGAGTTTGCACATTCTCCCCGAGTCTGTGTGGGTTTCCTCCAGATGCTCCGGTTTCCTCGCACAGTCCAAAGATGTGCAAGTTAGGAGAAATTGACCATGCTAAATTGCCCGTTGTGTTCAGGGATGTGTAGCTCAGGTGGGTTATAAGGGGTTGGGTCTGGGTGGGATGCTCTGAGGGTTGGTGTGGACTTGTTGGGTCGAAGGGCCTGTTTGCACACTGTAGGGATTCCATATTCTATGTTCTATGTACTCCAACAGTGATTTGGCTGTAACTGGTTAGCTAGGGCCATTGGCTTCCACATAGCATTGCCACTGTCCTCTCACACAATGTGTGATTGTTGGGGAAATGATTTAAGCTGTTGCTTCAATGAGCCAAAAATATTTTGATGATTTAAGCAATAGGATGGGGAATATCAGGGTAAATAGTGTGGTCAGAGGAATAATCTTTTCCCTAACAAATCCCAGATCCTTTCCTCGAAGCTTTCCCACCACCGATGTTAAATTGACTGGTCTGTAATTGCTCATAATAATAATGTGGAAGAAAATTATTTTAATTCAATCTGAAGTAATAATTGACTTCCAGTATCTCAATAGTTGACTAACTTGATTGAATTCTGTGAATGAAAAGTGAGGGTTAATGTTGTCCAAGTGGATTTTAGATCCATAGCAATATTTGAAGCCCAGTGCTAAAGTAGCAACAATGCAAAACTTGGATGCAAAACTGACTAAGAGTTAAAAAGTAAAAAGATCACAGAGGGGCAGCTATTTTCCAGACTGATGGTGGAGTGTAAGTATACTGTGATGTACCCAGGGACCAGTACAAGGACCATTGTCCTTTGCAATATATATTAATGTCCTGGACTTGGACACACATGGCCTAATTTCAAAATTTGCAAATGATACAAAACTTGAAACTGTATAAAGTAATGAGAAGGTCAGTAATGGACTTTGAAAACATATACAGACCGGTAAAGTGAGCAGACCCATGGAAATTGCAATTTAACACAGAAAAGTATGATGCATGTTCATAGGAAGAATGAGAAGAAGTGATATTAACTAAACAATGCATTGTAAAAAGGTACTGAAACAGCGAAGTTGTATTTACTCAAATCAGTGAAGTGGCAGATAAGGTTATCAGTAAAATGTATGGGATCCTTGGCTTTTTAAATGGGGAAGCAGAACGGAAAATTCAAGGAGGTTTTGCAAGAGGTTGATCTCGGGTGGAGTATTGCATCCAGTTTTGAACAGCACAGTTTAGGAAAGCTGTCGCAGCCTTACAAGGTGGGTGCAGAACAACTTTAGTAGGATGGTAATAGGAATGCAAGACTGGTATTAAGAAGAGTGACTAGACATTTGGAATCACTTTCTTTACGGCAAAAAATGTAAAGAGGAGATTTAATAGAGGTGTTCAAATTTATAAAAAAGTTTCAAAAGATTAAATGGTGAGAAAATGTTTCCCAGCATCGGAGAACCGGGGATGAAATTAGCAGGCTTGTTTTACTCAGTAAGTTGCTATGATCTGGAATGGCACTTACTGATAATATGTTGGAAGCTGATCCAATAATATCTCTGAAAGTGGAATTGGATACATTCTTGAAGGGAATGTTTCTAGGGCTGAGAGGTAAGGGCAGTGGAATGGGCTATTTAGGTACCGAATGATTTCTAAGGTAGTTGATATTGGCTCAAATCTTGAGGGAGTACCATTATTAAACCTTAATATCCTGCTCTTATACAAAGATAAAACTCTCATACTATTGGGATATAGAACTAGCATAGAAGGGTGATAGATGCCTCCAAACCCAAAAATCTATCAATGGCGGGTCCAAATTTGTGGGACTCTTGCTTCGATATCTCTCCAAAGCTAAAACCATCCTGAAACATTTCAAAGTCTACAAAATAATTAGAGCAGCATGTCAGTATGTTCCTTGTGCTGTCATACAGGGAATTCTGAAGGATGTCAAGGATTAGACAAAGAATTCTTGTGGATTAACTGCTGTAGTTTGATACATAAATGATGAAGAGCAACTATGTTCACTCAATACAGCCTCAATGTGTCTCAAACCTGATTGTCATGAACAAGAAAATTCTTTCTGGGATCTTACATATTTGATAGATTGGGGTGTGATGCAGCTCTTTGTGTTCCCCTCTGATGCCAGTAGCTGTGCCTAAGGAGTTCCCAATATGGAGGAAAATGAACCTGATTTTGTAATTACACTGTTTGGTGCTAACCTTGTGGTCAGCCAACCTTGTGTTGGTCTTTTAGTTACTGGAGCTGAGCCAGCGGAATTTGATTGGGTTGGTGGATACGTATGTAAACAATATAAGTGCACCTGTGTAAAGTGAGAATTTTGCAGCCAAATTGTAATTGTCCTTGACAAGCTTAGTTTTCTGCCAATACAACTTTTCCCAAATATGGCTTTCTGTTTGGATGCAATGGGATTTTCTTCTTCTGTTGTAGAGAAGGGTGCATTCTTCCTGTTTGGAATAGACAAATTTTTCTTACCAGAGCAGAGGAGTCCAAAACTAGAGGCCATAGGTTTAAGGTGAGAGGTGAAAGATTTAAAAGAGACCTAAAGGACACCTTTTCCACGCAGGGGATGGTGCATATGTGAAATGAGCTGCCAGGGGAAGTATTGAAGACTGGTACAATTGCAACATTTATAAAACATCTGGATGGGTATATGAACAGAAAAGTTTTGGAACGATATGGGCCAAATGCTGGCAAATGGGACAAGTTTAATATAGGATATCTAGTCGGCATGAACGAGTTGGACCAAAATTTTTCTGTGCTGTACAGCTCTATGACTCTGTGTTCTAAATTGTGTAGTAGAGAGATTTCTTAAAAAAAAATTGGTTAATAGTTGTTTATCATTTATGGAACATATTATAAATACCCATCTTTGAATCTGAAATCTGAGAATCATGACTTTTTTTACATATTGAAGTTTTTGCTTCCCATCCCGTTTGAACTTGGCCCAAGTGGTTTTGAACTGGTACTGATTCTGTCTGTAATGTCCAGAATAAGAGCAAATTAGTTTACTTCTCTCAGTGGGAAAGTAAGGAAAGTGAGAGTTTTTAAAAAATATGTCAATTTTCCTTGAGCCACAAGTTTATTTTGCCGTTTATGTTTCCATGACATTGTCTTTGTTCCAGGTGGGAAACGTGCAGGACTGCTGCATGATTTTGAAGTTGCTTCTAGTTGCTAGGGAATTCGGACTGTGGAGCACAAGGAGAGACAATGGGATGACTGTGGATTGCTGTGAGCCGGTAGGAGTTTCCCAGAGCTTCAGCTAGTCACAGTGACTGCAGGATTGGAGGCAAAGCTAACACAAAAACTTTCAGTGTTTTCAATTGAAAGCCTAGTAATCGATATGAATTATAACGTGTGTAATGCTTGGCTCTGTTTACAACAGAGAACTGAGGTAACTTTGCAGATCTAAAGCAGAGCATGTTTGCAATCCCATTATGTATCTCCTGGTCAAAAGCAAACTGATGTTTTGAGGAAAAAATTCTTACTTCACAATAAAGCAAAGTATTACGAATGAGATTGCCTCAGAACATTTAATAACCACTGGATTAACTTTGATGGGCAGTTACTTTTCATTAAGATAAGAAGGTTGAGCAGGACATTAGGGATTGAATGCAATCTACTGCCAGCATAATTACAGGCTGAGGGTGGGCGGGGGTGCGCCGGTGTAAATACAGTGAATAACCAATTCACCGCTGTTCGCATATTGCGGTGTTCAGGGAAGGCATCAGAAAACTATGGAGACCTTTAAGTTTCTAAATAATGGCCATTTAATGACCTCATTCACCCTCTGCCACAATGATACTTGTAACCTACACTGTAAAAGGTGGAAGTGAAGGGGTTGGGTTACTTCCTTTAGGAGTCCCTTGTGCCTATCAGGGACACTGTCCCCAAGACAATGCCCATTTATGCCTCCCCTATAGTGTCTAAACCCCTGTCATCGTTGCTAAAATTTGTAATGGCTGATTTGATCTCCATGGTGCACACAGAACTGCTAGTGGCTGACCATGGAGTTGATCAGTTGTGGAGTTTTCGAACAGCAGCTGATTTTGGAGGGTTTTGGCAGCCTGTTCATGCACCACATTAAGTCAACAAAGGTTGGTCCCGTCTTCAGGCTGTTCGGGGAAACTAGCCTTGATTATGAGGCTGCTGTCAGGACCTGCTCAGAGCACTTGCGGTCCATGTGAAAATCTGTTCAGGTGGAACGTATTTCAGGACCTTCAGTGCTATTGAGAGCAGTTGATGGGATGGTGGACGCATGGGTCGCTGAGTCACTTAGTAATGGCCACTTTCGCACATTGATGCTAGATGTTTGGAAAGGGGCCTGTGCTATGAATGTTAGTAAACAGCTTAGTTGGCCACGTACTTCCCTGGAATCCAATGTCATTCAGGAATTTTGGGGAAATTCCATTAATTCCTGCTGCTTTGCCCGACTTGGTGCTATCCCCTTTCTCTTGTGTGTGAAGGTCGAGAAGTTTGCTGACTCGGGGGCAGACTTTGTTAGGGCTGGTTTTACCATCCACTTGTCTTTCCTGCTGGCCCATGTCATTGTGTTTATCAGGAGTTGTGAAGAGACCGCATTAACATTGATTCTAATCTACTGGTCTGGTTGTTGCTCTTTTACTTCCAGGGAGTTTCAGTGTCTTCCAGCTTGAGTGCATGAGGACAATGTCCTTTGCTATTTTCTGCTGTCTCATCAGGCAGGTTCTTCTTCAAGAGCCTTGCAGTGTGCTCCTATCACACCAGGTATTGTCACTTTCCCTGTATTCTTTCAGAAATCGATAGAAGGACAACTAGGATGCCAATAGCAGGTTCTTGTTATTCATTCACGAGATGACGGCGTTTATGGCCCACCCCTAGTTGCCTGCAGAGCAGTTAACAGTCAAGCACATTGCTGTGGATCTGTAGCCACATATAGGCCAGACCAGGTAAGGATGGCAGTTTACTTCCCTCAAGGATATTAGTGAGCCAGATGGGTTTTTTTTCCCGACAATCGACAGTGGTTTTATGGTCATCTTTAGACTCCGAATTCCAGACTTCTTTTTCCCTTGAATTCAATTGAATGATGGGATTCATACCCGGGTCCCACAGCATTAGCTGGGTCTCCGGATTAACAGTCCAGTGATAATGCCACTAGGCCATCGCTTCCCCTGGTACACAGAAAACAGGCAATAATCAGATCCCACCCCTCCTCGAAAACAGCAGTCACTTTACTCGACTTATAACGGCAACCACCGGATTTAATCTCTGAGATTTCAGATAATCATTCAACCCAGGCTGGATCACAGGGTAATAAAAAGACATGAAGCAGAAAGATGGTTCCTCCTATTTAAAGGGTCAACAGTACAAATTGAAAGTTTGGAACTTTTTCTACATTAAAATGGAAGGACTCTTGGATGGTTTTGGAGACATCCTGGCATGTTTTTCCATGCGGCAGTGAGAGGTGATGTCTCCTCACAGGGATAACGGTGGATTAGGTGATGTGGCTGCATGAAGTACACACAGTTATCAAGTGCTACAAGTCTAGGACAACAGGGGCAGTGCCTCATGTTCTGCAGCTTAGCAGGGAAATTCAACAGTGAAGCCATAGAATGGGTAAGCCCTTACTGTGCCAATGTGGAACCATGCTGTTCCTTGTTCTTTGGCTGTCTGGCAAACTAGTCAATATGTCCAGCGTTCTGTGAGAACGTCTATTCAGTGCTTCTCTCTAAGCCATCCTGCTGAGGTCCACATCTGAATCCTCTGCAACAGCTGTCACCTGCTACTTCACCTTCCACTGAACTGGTAAATGAACCATCCAGGTAAAGTTGTGACCGGTAGCTCACCATCACAACTGTGTACTCGTCTACAAGTATCTGAGCTGATCACTGCAAGTGTCAGATCAGGTGGCCTTTCCTCTTAATGAATTTGCTGTGCTGTCGCTCTTCTTTCTTCTCCTGGAGGCCCTATGGTTGCGCAGGTGGCAGTTCTTGGGTCTTTAGAAGGAGAAACTCAGAAGGGGGAAGGTTGGTGTGAAAGACTGGGGGTTTTGGAGGGAAGCTAGGTGGTCCATGGTCACATCAACAACAGCTTTCTCATTGTACCTGGAGGTGAAGAGAGTTGATGGGCATGGAATTGAGATGGGAAAGTTGTGATCCCAGCTGATGATAGTGTTAGACAAGTCAGATCCTAGTTAGAAACCAGGCTTGATAGAAGCTTATTGTAATCATATTGTAAGACCAGAAACAATGTTTAGGAAGACACTGCTTATAACTAACAGAGAATCAATTGCAGAGACCACATGGAATCTAATTCAAAGGTAAAGGAAGGCTGCAGTAAAATTCAAATACAAAAGGAAGACAAATGTTGGATATTTGGTATGTTTTATATATTCAAAAATTTTCTTTGTTAAACAGAAGAGCATGTATTAACCTCAATCTTGTTAGGAAAGCAGAAGAGGTCAACCATCAAGAGACTGGAAGTCACTTCCAAAATATACTTCCTGTATTATTCACAAGGATAGGAAGATTTGAGACAGAATACAGTGTCCCATTGAGCAGAGAAACCAAACCTATGTGTCTCTTTCTGCCTAGAAAATGACCACACCCACTAAA